AGTAGATTATCACAAATATAATTAAGTATATTTTAAATATATTTTAAATATATTTTAATAATATTTCAATGATATTTAATTATATTTTAAGTATTTTTTAAATATGCGTATTTCTTAACATGCTTTTGTACCAGGATGAACAAACAGTTATCCTGGATGATGGATGACACACAAGGATAATTTATCCAAATAGTGACACATATCATCCTCTATCATCCCCGTGACTCTGGCTATTTTCGTGCCACCTCAATGTAATGTAACCTGAGACCAACTTTGCGATATTTTTTCGAGTTACGAAAATCGTGAAACAATTGAAACAATACACGAAATTATTATAAATACTTCTGTTACATAATTCGCAACTCCAATAAACAACCTATAGAGGGTCTGACTGCAGTATACTGCATTAATGTAAAATAAAATTCTAAAAAAAATTTATCGAATACCATTTCTTTTTTTTCAAAAAGTGGTAGTTTTCGTTACAAAATAAAAAAAAGGTCCGTTCTGTTACTTTATCATTATTTTTACTTTTTTAGATTTTTTAAAAAAATAGTTATTATTTCAATTTATTTATTATTTATTATAATGTGTTACGATTATTTTTTTAAAAATTTACTTTTTATTTCTTAAAATTTATATTTCTTAGACAAAAAAAGATGACAACTAAAATTCCTACAGAAATATTAATTAAAATTTTAAATAATGTTCAATCATCGCGTTCAACTCGAGATTTATATTCATCATTATTAGTTAATCGAATCTGGTGTAAAGTTACTATACCTATACTTTGGGAATTACCTTTGGGTCAAGAATGTTATATGCATGATGAAAGGCTGATGAAGAAAGCATTATTTATTCGAACTTACATATCATGTATGGATACTCAAGCTAGAACTTTACTTGTTCAAAATGGATTTGATTTATCATTATCACCACCTCACGCCACTTTTAATTATCCATCATTCTCTCATAAATTATTAATTAATAATTTAGTTAATTTTGTATCCGTATATTCACAACAAATTATTTATTATACAAGATCAAAAATATTATTTCGTGAGATGTGTAAATTAATAACAAATCGTTATATGAATCATTAATATTAACTTGTGATAATATTTTAAATATGGATTTGTCTTTGGTTTCATATTCTCAAGTGCAATTATTATCAAAACTTATCGGCGGCCAAAAACGTTTAGAACATCTATCAATTGCTGGTAATGGTTATTTAGATTATAATTCATTATTTTGGGCTATCATCAGTCGAAAAGAAACATTAAAGAGTCTTCGTTTATATTCAGTAAATTTTACTCGTGTTGAGGGGGAAATCATCACAAATTGGACAATTTACTTCACTTCAAGAGCTTTTTATCGTAAATTGTTCTGGATTGCATAAATCAGATTGTCTATTCTTGGCTTCATCATTTACTCAATTAAGTGGTTTTCATTGTACTTATTTGAAATTTGCAGCTCCGAAGTATTCTCAAAAATTTATTATAAAAATTCTCGAAGCAGCCAATAGAAATTTAAAAAGTATTCATCTAGATTTGTATCCCATAATTACATTTGAAATATTTTCAGCAATTTTAAATTATTGTACAAAGATTGAAGAATTAACTTTACACAATTTAAATCCTGAGCAAGTAATAGCAATGATTAATGATAATTTTTATGAATTAAGAAGATTTTCATTTGATAGTGGTTAAGAAATATTTGATGCTGATGATTTATTATGTAAAATGGCCAAGAATGTATCGGAATCACTTGAAACTATTGAATTAATAATGGATTATGAAAATCCATGGATATTTAGTGCTAGTAGTTTAAGAAAACTGTTTGAAGGGTGGTGTTGTAAAGGAGGAGGAGGAAATAGAAAGATTATTGTAAAGCGTCCAGGACCGCCACTATTTAAATTAAGTGATGAACATTTTAAAGTTATTGAAGACTATGGAGTTCAATTTGATATACTGTAGTATAACATTTTATTTATTATTTGTTATAATTCTAAATCGGAAAATATATTTAGTTATAATATCTGCACATTGAGTTATGATAAGAATATTGGAAAAAATTTAAAAGCATTATAAAATTGTTTGATAAGCTTTGGTATAGCTTTACATGATTTTGCTTAAATTTTAAAATTATTAAAATATTATATTGAATTTATACTGTCAAATCCAACATTAAATTAGTTAACTAAGTTAATTCAAAGTTAATTAAAATTAGTTAATTGAAAAATAATAGCTTAGTCAATTCACTTTAAAATATTAATGAAGTAATCGATATATATTTTATTTATATTTAGAGGATCACGGAAGAATATGACGTATACCTCACCTATTCCAATTAATAGTTATCATGGAATAGCATTAGTTCACATTACGAAGTAAAATTTTTTGTCCTTTTTTTATATTTATCAAGCGCAAGGAATAACTGCGAATTGTTAGATAATATAAAGTCACATAACTCTTGTTTGCTAAAATGCTTCAGTGCAGAGAAGTGTTTCGTTACTTCATTGCTCTTTTATCTAATTTTAATTCATCTAATGGCTATTTTTTTTATCTGTAATTTATTTGATCCGATATTAATGACCAGTGTTTACCGAATCATCCATACTTTCGGCGTGGATTTACATTTAGACTTTATATTATTCTTCTATTAATATCCTTTCGTTCTTTATAAGACCTGTTATTCATTAATATACTTTTTATTTAGACCGATATAAGAAACTTTATAAAAAACTCCGTAATGTGCATATACAATTCAAGCTAATATTCTATGTTTATTTATAATGATAATGTATCGTTTATTAAATAAAAATTAGGTCTTCAAAGTTTGATGCAATAATAAAAGGATTTGAAATATTGACTAATAAAATATTAAAGCAAATTCTTTATTATGTGATATACATATTTAAATTTTATTATAGCTTGTTCTTGATTTATCTAATGATTTTTGTGGTCGGTATCATTGATTTTGCCGAATTTTGATATATCTCTTTTCTGGTGATATATATCTGTTGAATCTTTATTAGTATAAGAATGAAATGATTATATTTTGTAAATAACTTATGTATTTATTATAACAAAGTTAATTGAATCATAATATTCTAATACAATTAAATTCTTTATCATTTAATTTGAATTCAATGAACTTTATAATTGAGATCTTTTTATGTAGCTCCCCAAATATTTAATAATGTTATTATGTAGTTCCGCCTTCTAAAGTTTAACAAAATTTCGAAAAAAAAATTTTAATGCAAAATATTATATCAAAGAAGATACAAGAAAGTAGAAAATGGTTAAAATAAAAAAAAAAAAGTTCATGTGAAGACAAATATCATGAATTGATTTTATTCTTAAGAAATCAAAAATACAAATATAGTCTATAATCCTCCCTAGTATGCTTGTATAAGAAAGAATAAGATCTGAAATTAAATTTTTTAAGATATATTGCATTTATCGAAAATACTTCAGGGCCTATTATATTGAATTTAACGTCAAGAATGCTTTAATTATGATTTATGTCTACAAAAGCAAACCTATAAATTGATAAATATATGCATAAGAAATAAATATTAAGATTATTCTTATTTAATAAATATTTAAACAAATAACTAAAAATAATTTATTTTAATTTCACAACTGACATGTTATTATTTTGTTTATTACTCGTTTTCAAGAATTAACCAAAAAACACCCTATTTTATTATAATTATGACATGCAAACAAAAAAACAGATTTTTCGTTATATTACTTTGGGAATTGAAACACATCATAGCAAGAAAATTCTTGCCAATAAATTTATAAAAAACAATATCTAGTTTAGGATTTAGCGAGTCTGCGATTATTGATTCAAATATTTCATATCATAAAAATTAATCACATGTTCATTCATTTATTATTATTTTGATTATATTTTAAATTTTACATTACGCTTTATTAATTATCTAATTATCCATGTATAAATATTTAATAAATCTGCTTTATTTACGCACTGTTTCTTCCTCTTAATTAAAGTTTCAATTAAAAAACGTATATTATAAAATCTAAACATTTGTTTTTGCTTACCTTTCCAGCTGCTCAAATATATAGGTATCTTTGTTGGTTATTGTTGATGACCGAAGATTTTTAATATTATTTAAATCTACAAATAGTAAAAGGAAAAGCGTAAGCAGTGAAAATATTTGTAAAATTTATATAATTAAAAGAATAAAATAAGATACACAACATCAAGTATATCGGACGCATTAGATCGTGCCAGTTCTAAATTAATTATATTGACTATTCGGGCATAATTAAATGTTTCAGAAATAATTTCTAAAGTATTTAATGTTTAAAAATTAATAATTAAGCAAAATAATGAAATAGAAAATCTAACCGGCCATGTAACATAGCAATATAATCAGAAATTAGATTTTAAATTGTGAAAGAAATAAATTAAAAAACAAGCTTTTTCCTCTTTTTCCTAAGTATCAATGCATTCGGAATCACCTTTCCTCTAGATTCACTTCTTAAGATTTAAATAAAGTAACCAATGATATACTTTGTAGAATCACTCAAAAAAATAAATAAATAAATTTATAAAAACGAAACGAACCTTTTCCAAAGAGTTCATCAATACTTTCAACGTCTAATTATGAAGCACCAATTCTTTTATTATTACGAATAAAATTAGTACTTTTGGAATTACTCTTATTATATAAAATAAAAGATAAAACTAGAATTCAATTGAACAAGTCAACCTAAATAATATAAATTTTTTTTTTAAAATTTTTGGTTCTCATATATTTTGATCGTCTTGCTTATGTGATTTTTTGGAATAATTTTATTAGCTACTTATCGATAATAAATATATATTTTAAATGTATATATTACATCATGGAATTGTATAACAGTATCAAAAAAAATTTATAAATTGTAAAATTCTTACCTTACATAGTCGCAAATCTAGGATTACATTTCTATAATAAGGTAACATAAAAAAGATCACAAAGAAGAAAAGTGATTGGTTTTAAAAAAATACATGAATCCCAAGATCATAGATCCAATCACAGTGATTTTTTAAAGATCTATCTATAGGAAATATTTAAAAGAAAATCCATGGCATTTCCTAGAAACAATATTTAAAAAAATAACTTAAATTGATCTGCGAACCCACACTCAAATGAACCCGACCAGTTCCAAGAAGGTTAATAAGATTAATAAAAGTAAAAAAAGAATGTTAAAAATATCACCTGAAAAGAATTACGTAATATATACAATGATTTCATTAATATTTTGAACAAATAAAAAGATTGCTTCAATAATTATGAAGATTTCTTTGAACATAAACTTTCAAAAGGAGGATATTAGGAGAAAAGTTTTGACATATTTTAAAAAATTTGTTTTTTCTTATACCATGGGCACAAAGCGACCTATTGTTAAATGAAATGATAAGAAATTCCAATTAGAAGTACACATGCATTGAATGTAGATCGTTTATCCTATTTGAGAATTATGAAATTCCAACAGAAATTCCAATCTCCCATTATTAGTAAAGTGAATGTACTGTAGATCGTTTATGGAATTCTGGAATTTCAACAAATAATATAAATTCTAGAGAATTGAAAGAAATAGAAGGTTCTGAAAGAATATACTATTGAACAATTAATATTTATTTGAGAAAAGCACTTATCCGATAAACCAAAGTGTAAATTAAAAAACGACTGACGTGCAAATATTATAATTTTTTTGTATATCATATTTTTATAGGAAATATAACGTATTAACGTATTGAATTTAATATAACATACATATTTATTTAATTATTTATTTTTCTATCTATTATTGTATAATCTTTCGACAATATCATAAAATTTAACGCTTTTAGAATATATATTCCATTTAGAACTTCAATAAAATATATTAAGTTTAAAAGTTCTATCTTTATAGACACTTTATTCTGCTAAGTGTAATTTAAACAGAAATGGAAAATATGCAATACAACGAAATTCAAACAAATGAAGGTGAAGAGAAAGCATTTCAGTGGTACTTGAAATTAGCTGAAGGTGGAAATAGTAATGGACAGAATGGTCTTGGTTATTGTTATGAATATGGGATTGGAACCACAAAAGATGAAGAGAAAGCAGTTCAGTGGTACGGGAAATCAGCTGAAGGGGGAAATAGTACAGGACAATATAATCTTGGACGTTGTTATGAAAATGGAATTGGAATAACAAAAGATCTAGAGAAAGCATTTCGGTGGTACTTAAAATCAGCTGAAGAAGTAAATAGTGATGGTCAGAACAATCTTGGGTATTGTTGTCAACATAGGATTGGAACTACAAAAGATGAAGAAGAAGCATTTCAGAGTTACTTAAAATCAGCTGAAGGGGGAAACCATAATGGACAGAAAAATCTAGGATATCGTTATGAAAATGGGATCGGAACAACAAAAGATGAAGAGAAAGCATTTCAGTGGTACATAAAATCAACTGAAGGTGGAGGTAGTAAAGGAAAATATAATCTTGGACGTTGTTATGAGTTTGGAATTGGAACAACAAAAGATGAAGATAAAGCATTTCAATGGTATTTGCAATCAGCTGAAGGGGGAAATAGTGATGGACAGAGTAATCTCGGTGGTTGTTATGCAAATGGGATTGGAACCACAAAAGATGAAGAGAAAGCATTTCAGTGGTACTTAAAATCAGCTGAATGTGGGAACAGTGCGGGACAATATAATCTTGGAATCTGTTATAGAAATGGGATTGGAACAACTAAAGATGAAGAGAAAGCATTTCAGTGGTATTTAAAATCAGCTGAAGGTGGTAATATAATTGGACAGAATTATCTTGGTTATTGTTATGAATATGGGATTGGAATAATAAAAGATGAAGAGAAAGCATTTCAATGGTACTTAAAATCAGCTGTAGGTGGAAACATTGCTGGACAATATAATCTTGGACGTTGTTATGAGTTTGGAATTGGAACAACAAAAGATGAAGAGATAGCATTTCAATGGTACTTGCAATCAGCTGAAGGGGGAAATAGTGATGGACAGTTTTTTCTTGGACGTTGTTACATGTTTGGAATTGGAACAACAAAAGATGAATTGAAAGCACTTCAGTGGTACTTAAAATCAGCAGAAGGTGGAGATAGTGATGGACAGAATTATCTTGGTTATCATCATGAATATGAGATTGAAACAACAAAAGATGAAGAGAAGGAATTTCAGTGGTACTTAAAATTAGCTGAAGGTGGAGATAGTGATGGGCAGAATAATCTTGGTTATTATTATGAAAATGGGATTGGAACAACAAAAGATGAATTGAAAGCATTTCAGTGGTACATAAAATCAGCTGAAGGTGGCTGTAGTAAAGGACAATATAATCTTGGACGTTGTTATGAGT